GTAGGCTTTGCTGACTGAAGGTGCACTGGAGTCCAACAACTGCTTTCAAAGCACCAATTTATTACTCCAAACTGCTCTCCCCAAACAGAAGTCCATCTAGATAGACTACAGTGGTGTCTTAACTGTGACTGGGAAGAGTATTAATTTACACATAGACATAGATTCCTTTGTTTTAAAGGAACAACCCCCTAATTCTCATTTACCTGCTTCAAACATTTCATTAAGTGATCCATCTTCTCTCGTACTTACTGCTTTATCTTCAAATGACTAGCAGAGCATGGTGTGTTTTAGAGGAGGGTCAGGCAGTCTGTGGATTTCTTTCTGCACTTTTTGTACTCAGTGGGAATATCGATATCATCACCAGGAAGCCAGGATCAAGCCTCAGGTTAAGATAAGTAACATAAGAAGTACCGAAGTCAGGCTCAAACCTCAAGATAAGACACATAAGGAAAAGAGTAAGGACTACGACAGGATGAAGCCTACTGGCATAAATTCATGCAGGACCTTCAAGAACAATACTGACTGGAAGTTGTCACTCTAATTCATATAGCATGGTATAGGAGGTCGACATAATTTTTCAATTCATGATACTTTCTTTTACACAGTCAATAAATTTAAAATCTAATAATTTAAAAAATATATTTGGAACATCTTTTTGATAGGAAATTTATATTCCTTCAAATCTGCATGTTTTCACAATCTAGTCACTTTCTGTCCTGTAAAATGTACACAATTTGGTATTTTTAGAAAACAAAAAAATGGAGAAAAATGAGCTGGGATTCTTTATGGGCTTCTCTTTCACACTGTCCTATGTGTCAATAAATTTTTTACCTGTTAATTGAAAAACATTGAAGCAAACTATGGGTTGATTAGATTTAAAAACAGATTACAGAAAGGTTCTGTCCAATTCCTTTTTTAAGCATCTGCACACAATACAAAGAACTGGTAAGAAAAATATTCAAAGTATTTATTTAGAAGTATTTAGTATCTTAATAAACACACGCTAGGCATTTGGCAAAGAACTTGTAAAACACCTATGGTAAACTATAACTTACCACTTTTAATTCTATTCTCTTGCAACCAAACTTAGGAATCTTCTGTTATAAATTTTGTATTGCTTTATAGGGAGGATAATAGAGTTGTTGAGAAAATAAGCTATATTCAGTTCTAATAGTATTTCTTCTTTTTTGTTCACTACATACTATTTAATATTTTTCTTTTGCACTTCTTAATAGTTGAGCTTTAAGTGAAACTCTGAAAAACAACATTAGAATTCAAAATACAGGAGAAGATTTTATTTTCAGGGTCACAAGTAGCATAGCGAGATTTCTCTCTTAAACAATGACACTTAGTATCTCTGTAGTTCTATGAATACTTTTGAAGTGTCATATTAAAACCAATCTCTTGGCCTTCAGGCAAAGAGAAGCAATTAGTCTTGGAGTTGTGAATAAATAAAAATCCATTTATATACCCGTCCTTGACACATACCTTGCAAATCTTAGAAACTTCATCTAGTGGGAAAAGAAATGTTAAATCATGAACACCAATACTAATCATATTGCAGTGTTGCTTCCTAAAACTGTTTAGTTTGTATCGATCTTTTAAGTATTAATTCATATGTATATATTCATACATATTGAAACACAACAACAGAAAGGCATTTGCACATTTGAGTGAGAAGAAACGAGTGAGTGCATATAGAGCTGCAACGCATACCTTTATTACCCTCAACGTTAATACAGGCAAGAAAAAACTCAAAGCTCTCAAGTACATTGTGCTTTTCTTAGATACTGTAAAAACAATTCGGCACAAGTTACATACCATGCGCATGCCTTTTTCATCCCAAGTGCTACTGTGTCTTTGCTTTCATCTACAAACAAACACACAAACCAACCAAATCTTTATTAGCCATGCATCCATTTCCATGCAGCACAATTAAATGGTACCTGTGACAGATGTGTTGGGGTGACTCAGAAAACAGTTTATACTTTTTGTTCAGTGCAGTGTTGTTAATCTTCTCTCTCCTCTTTACCGTGCCTCAGTGCAGAAGCATTGACGCTTTGATTGCTGTTCGAGATTCTCATATTTATTTTTCATTTAGCAGTTAGTAATTCACAGAGGAAGTAAAAATTATGATGCCAAGTCATCCCAAATAGTCCGCCTGCACCCCTACAGAAAAGCTGAGTGAAACTCAGGCTGTGTGACAGGTCACCAAGTCCCAGTGGAGCTCGTCCTCCCTGAATCCACTTGTTGACCAGTGTGCTGGGGAAATGGGAGTGCCTAGGCTACAGCCTTGTCCAGTGTCCAGGTGAAGCATCTGTCTGGGGACACGCATGTGTTCAGTGAATGTTTTAGAATAAAATCCACCCCACTGTGCTGTGCTCTTGTAGGCAAATGGAGAGTCCCAGCCTGGAGGTCGGAGGTGGGACGGTGACCCCCGCAAAAGGATCGCACCTGGGCTGATGGGATGGTCAAGGAAAACAAATTTTAGTCTGTTCTGGATGCAAATCTCTCTGCTGACCTAGTTCTCATTCTCCTTTTCATTTCAGAAGCTCAGCTAAAAATCCATAAATTAAGGAAATTAACTGATGGAGCCTCCGGCATCTTTGTAAGCTATTTAAATCTTTAAATTTACAACATCTTCTGCATATATCAAGTAATTGAACTAACTGCAGGGATGTAACTTTAATGAGAAAATTTCCCTCTTCTCCTGTAGTTTGTACTCTTAAAAAAAAAAAAAAAAAAAAAAAGCTACCCTTAGGAGAAAAGTTTCTGTTTATTCCTGCCACGGAGGAGAACTTTAAAATAAGGCCTCAATTTTAGGGGGTCCTGCCTGCCTTCCTCCCCAGCTTCCTGGCAGGCCGGGGCAGCCCCACGCCCCGCAGGGGAGCGCGGGCGCGGGCGGGGAGCGCGGCCCCCTCCTGCGCGCCGGCGGCCTGACCTTTCCGGCAGCCGCGCAACGTTGCATAACTCCCCTGCGCGGCTGCGCTCGGCGGCTAGTAGGCGCTGCAGCCCGCCGAGTCGCCGCGGCTCGCCGGCCGCTGGGACGCGCGGCGCCGCTCCGCGGGCGCGGAAGGCGGCGGGTGTCGTGTGCCTCCCCCCCCCCCGCCCCCCCCCCCCCGCCCCGAGCACGGGGAGCAGGGAAGCAGGCGGCGGTCAAGCGCCGCGGCCACACCGCGGGGCCGCCCCCGCCGCCAAACTTCCGCGGGGACCAGCGCGGAGCGGGACGCATGGGGCGCATCCCTCGCGGGGGCTCGCAAAAACGCGCAGGCGTCGGCAGACCTGCATCTCTGGCTGAAAGTCGAGGGAGACCTTTGCTGGCTTTTTTTTTTTTTTTTTTTTTTTTTTGTGTGTGTGTTTTGTTGTTTTGTTTTTTTGGTTTTTTGTTTTTTTTTTTGGGGGGGGGGGGGGTAGCCGTTCCCTGCCGGTCCTCCTCCCGGTGCGTGGGCCGGGCGCGGTGCGCGCCCGCGGAGCCGCCCGCGGAGCCCCGCGCCATCGCGCCGCGCGCTCTAATTGAAATGGCGCTTTTGGCCGGGGGCGGGCTGCCAGGGCGCTCCGCAATAGCACAATGCATGTCGATAGACGTCATTTGGTTTTAATGGCCTACAGGAAATTTGGCGTTTACAATGCGAGACATTAGCAAAGGGTGAAAGGGAGGGGGAGCAGGATGGATGGATGGGAATAATTGTAGCGCCCCCCCCCCCCGGCCTGCGAGACCCCCCGTCCGCACCCCGGCGGCGCTGGGTGCTGCGGGGACGGGGGTGTGGGGGATGTTGAGGCTATTTTTTTTATTATTTATTTTTGAACTTGATCTAGTTTATCAACAAGTGCAGAGTGGGTGCTACCCTAATTGTAACAGAGGAGTCAAGAGATGTGAGAAACGTGCCCTGTGTTACTTATTTGGGAGCTGAAAATTTATGCCTAGCTGAAAATGCCTGGGGAAATATTACATCAGACCAAATGACAATGATTAAAATCAGCTTTTTTCCCCCTTCCCCCCCCCCCCCCCCCCCCCCTTTTCCTCCTTCTTCTTTTCAGTAAGTCTGTTGAAGGACGTGACAGTGGCCTGATCCTCCCCAACACCGAACCGTTATCCCCCGGCAGCGCCGGGCCGGGCCGGGCCGGGCTGGGCTGCGCGGGGCTCCGCGGAGCAGCGCGGGGCTCCCGCCCCGACCGCGCCGCGCAGCGCGGAGGGGCTCTGCGGGCGGCGGCGCCGGGGGCGCGGGCTGGGGCGCCGGCCGCCTTCCCAGCCTGATTTCATTTTCAGGGGTTCTATTTTATTTTATTCGGGGGGTGTGGGGGGGAAATAAATCTGGAGACCTTCACCAGAAGGAGGGGAAAATAGCCAATTTTCATCGCAAAATTAGCTAGGGCGAGAGCAAAGGGCTGAGCTAATTGTAGCCTAATCCTCTGCCCTGCAGGCGTTTGCAAAGCCCTGAGCAAGAATTCGCTTTTTTTCCTCCTCTTCTCCCTTCCCTCTGTTATTTAGAGACGGGATTATTGCCTTTCTTCTCATAACAGCCTCGGCAGTTTCATTTAAAGGCTTTTTTTTTCCCCCCTCTCTCACACACACACACAAAATAAATAGAAAAAGAAGCAGCAAAAACAGAAGGGGGGGGGAGAGAGAGAGAAGAAAGCTTTAATAATAATCGCAGCAGGATCTGCGGCGCAAAGATAGTAATAAAAGCAGAAAAGCTGAGCCCCCCCGCCCCGCCGAGCCCGAAGCGGGGCTCGCAGACCTCTCCGGTGCCCAAGGTAAGGCAAAGCGGCGGCGGCGGCGGCTCCCGCGGCGGGGCTGCCCGTGCCGTGCCGGGGCTGCCCGTGCCGTGCCGGGCCGGCGCGCGCCGTGCCGTGCCGTGCCGTGCCGTGCCGCGCCGCGCGCGCCGCGCCGCGCTTTGCATCGCATCGCATCGCATTGCATCGCGCCGCACCGCGCCGCGCGGCACGCTCGCGCCTTCGCTCGCTCCTCGCTCTCCTCGCTCTCGCTCCCCCTATTTTTTTTTTTTTTTTTTTTTTTTTTGAAAGTGCCTCTTCTTCAAACTAACTCGGCTCTTGGCTCCGGAGGAGAAGCGGCAGAGGGGTGGTTTTTTTTTAAAGCTACAGGACCCCCTTTGCAGCCGCCCCGCTTTGATAGCGCTCTGTGTGTGTGTGTGTGTGTGTGTGTGTGTGTGTGTGTGTGTGCGTGCGCGCGTGTGTGCGTGTGTATGTTTTGTTTTGCTCCGCTCCAGCATGGGCAGCGCCGGCGGAGCCCCGCGGCCCGGGGTGCCCGCGCTCCCGCTGCCGCCCCGGCCCCGGCTCTGAAGACGGCCAAGCCCCAGCGCGGCGGAGGCAGCGCGGCTCGCTCCGCGCTCTCGCATGGTACACGCGGAGCCGCGGCCGCGCCGCGCCGCGGGGGTCGGGCGGGCGGCGTGGCGCGGCGCGGGGGTGCGCGGCGCGGGGGTGCGCGGGCCGCGGCGCGGGGGCTGGCGGCGGGGCGGCTCGGCACAAAGGGAAGGCGGGCGACAATGGGGAGCGCCGCGTATGGAAAACACGGGCGGGCTGTGAATGAAACTCTGGCGCCAGTGAGAGTGGAAGGCTTGGTTTGGGGTAGACTTCAAACCACTCTAGGCTATAGTTTGCATTTCTGTTCCTGCATGCGATGTGGCACACTTCTGCAAAATTAATACATTAGCCTGGCTAATGCTCACCACCATTGGCTACACGGAAAACGTACAGGATCGGGGATGTGGGGTTTTTTTGTTGTTGTTTGTTGTTTTGTTTTTTTTTTTTTTCCCCTTGCATTCATCTAAGACATCTCGTTTCTTGTTATGTGGGAATAAGTAAAGGACGCCATGTTGTGCTTTTTTTTTTTTTTTTTTTTTGGTTGAATTTTACCTTTGGGCATACAGTGTGTTTAAAAGAAAAAGGCAGAAGTTGAGTGACCGGGTGCGTTGCTTGCTGGTGATTTCCCTGACCATCAGTAGGGAAAGGCATTCGGGTGACGTGAAACTTGCACTAAATAGACTGGAGCCTGCCAGAGATAGGCGGGTTGCGGGGGGGGGGGGGGGGGGGGGGAAGGAAGGAGAAAGCCCTTTTTTTTTTTTTTTTTTTTTTTTTTTTTTTCGGTAACTAGAGCTCCAGAAGGAGCTTCCCCCCCCGTAAAAGTTTTGGGCACGATCTCCTCTGCCACCCGGTCCAGTGTTCTGGGAAACAGCGAGGAGGTGTGTGCAAATGTTTACGGACTTTCAATTTTGGAGCCGTCGAGCCCAAGGCTTGCAGCCCCCCCCCCTTTGTCTCCAGGCTCGGCTTACGGCGTAAGCAGTTGTCTCGGAGTGGCTCTGGAGGCAGACCCGAGCGGTCGCCGTCCCTGTTTGTAGAGACAAAGGTAATTGCCAAGTCTGTAGTTGTGCCCCTCCGGCTGCGCTGAACGCAGGCTGGGCAGATCCAGGCGCTGCCGGGGAGTCACGGCAGCGCCCGGGCAACTCCTGCAGCCGGTTGCTGCCCCCGAGGGCCGGGCCAGGGGTTGGTCGGGGGGCTCCCGCGGGGGGACTGCACCCCCAGTGCTCGCGTGGGTCGGCTGGCAAAGAAAGGAAGGTCTCTGGGGAGGGAGAGCAGCTTCCCCGAGGAGCCAGCCGGCCCCGGGCCCGGGCGGGCAGCAGCTGCGGGCGCGGCCCCGCTCCGGGCCCCGCCAGCCGGGGGGCGGCAGCCGGGGGGCCCCGCTCGGCCGGGCTGCGGCCCCGACCTGCCCCCGCCCCGGCTCCCCCGGAGAGCGGCTGCTTCATGGCAGGTCCTTAAACCTGCCGTTTTCATTTCACGTCTTAAATGTGCATGAAGGAATTAAACTGCACGAGTGAATAACAGCATTAGTTTCAATTAATTTTTATCCTGGCAACAATAAACTTTAGAAACAAAGCGCTTTTACATCCTTAATTAGTCTTGCTTCCCATCTGTAGTCTTTTAAGTGCCTGCTCCTTGATTTAACTTTGTCCCTCCTTCAGAGCCGCCTCCTTTTTCATTCTTTCCCCCTTTTTCTCGTTACCCCTTCCAGACTGCTGCTTGTTTCTTTCCTTCAACCTTTCACCTCCCTTGTCCCTATCTGTCTGCTCTGCTCTGTGCAGTTTATTTCTACTGTATTTTCCCAACATCAACAGCAGTATTGGTTACCATGGCCCCGAGCTATGTGCAGAGGTGGGAAAGCTTCATCCGCCCAAAAGTTCTTACACTTTTGAAGTCTTTCTTTTAGTAGGATCTGAAATGTATCATCTAGAGTGTGTATTAAATGAACAGTATTCCTGAAGGCTTTAGAGCAAGAAAGGCAACACCCTGGAAAATTCTGCAGTCTTTCAGCATTCTCTGCCCTAGGGTTATAGCCCTGGGCACGGAGCTGAATGGAGCTCTTACAACTGCCTTCTGTTTACCTTTTATGGTTAAAATAACAGCTTAGCAAAGAAGCAACTTCATGGAGAAACGATTCAGTGAAATCATCTCAAGCTGTAGCAGCATAGCTAGTTTAATCACCCCTAGAGAGCTGAACAACTGTGAGCACAATGGGACACAAAATCATTTTGTGTGTAAATGAGCATGGCATTGTGATTATTTCACTTTGCATGGGCAAATAGTTTTTACAAGCAGTACTTATGCAGTTAGCTTAGAAAGGCAGAAAAAGATAAGCTGGCTCTGAAAGATCTTGTTGTGTAATGTTTGAAAAACTAAATATTCACATAATTTGGGAATCAGGCTCTATTGATTTTGCCTTCAGCAGGTTCCTGTGTTACTTATTAGAGCAGGGTTATTGCCTGTGCCACTAGTTCGGATGCTGTATCCTGTTGTAGGCAACTAAAGAGCAAGGATTATTTTACATGGTTTAATAAATGAAGTTTGTTAGTGTTTCTGCGATATTTACCCTTAAGGTTTTAATTTTCACATCAGTATTAGAAAATACGTGCATAAAGACTTTTGCTGGATAAATACATTTAGGATTTTGCTTTGTGCATAAAATAAGTACATTACTCATTGTGATGAATTTTAGCTGTGTTTTACATTAAGAAGAGGAAGGAGTCATTAGAAATAGGGTTACGGTACCTTAAGAAATAGGGGGTATTTATTTTTTTGGAGCAGTAGGAGCATTTTCAGTGTCCTTTATGTAGTGCTTAGCAATTATGCCCCTTGATAATTTGCTCATATGAAAATGATTGAATTCCATAACTTTTAATAAAAACATAGGATTCATTTTTTTTTGATACAAATCCTCTCCAACCAGGGGAAAAGCCTGTGTTTTAATTCCTCTTCTCCCCTCCCCCAAAAAGCCAGTGGCACCCTCAATAAGTATGAAAAGCCATAAAAGTTTGAGAACTATTTTAGCTTTCCAGTGATTTTCTATAATTAAGTGTTTTTTCAACACATGCTCTAGCTGAGAGATGCCAAAAGCAGAGGATTGTTCAAAAGGTCCCTCCAGTGAATAGTATAAATTAAATATCTACTGTGTGAGTATGGCCTCACTGAGAATCTCAGACTCTTTACAGATCAAGGAGTTTACTGGTATACTAACATTAAACAAAATCCTAAGATAGCAGCAGTGTTTAAATATGCACAAATAGATTCAGATCACTTGATCTTTAGCTATCTGTGCATATTCTAAAATTGAAGTCTATATTTCAAGACAAATGGTTAAATGTAAGACACGTTTACAGAGGACTGGAAGTCCTTTGATTTCAATTGGAAATTGTAACAAGGGGTGCAGATGAGCCCTAATTAGGCACTTGTTTTGTGAAACTGCATGAGATTTATTTCTAAGGCAGCTCTGTACCGTGCGAGGTCTGTACCTTTATCATTAGTGATAATAGTTGGGGTCTGAACAAAGACAGGGTTGACATTCAGCCTGGATCTTCTGACCCTTTCATTTAAGTGAAGGAGTAGAGAGTGAACATGAGTTTACAGTGCTCTTTGGTAAGAAAAAAAAACAACCTTTGTCTGTGTTGGCAGACAGATGAGGCACCCACAGATTAGTAAACGCGTCGCTAAAATACTGTAGGTACTTACATACTAAGTTGTTTTTAAAAGTTAGTTCTTTTATTTATGCTATATGACATATTTACTGAAGATTGCCCACAACAGGCTCGTGTGGGAAACAAGAAAGCAACATCTTCAGTCATGAAAGGATTCAATCACTTTCCTTGAAGGTGGTGCTGTAGTAACAATGTTAATGCCCAATTTCGCATCGCCTGACACAGAAGTCCTAGGACAGAGTTGGTATTTGCATCGTGTTCAGTGCAGATGTCCTTCCAGTCTCTGAAGAGGAAAGGATGTGGATTCATAATGGGGTGATGTATTTCTGTGCTGTAGATGCAGGAAATTCTTAGGAGCTAACCAAGATGAAATACAGTAAATGGAGATGTTGTGATGACTTTGTGAAGCTGTCCAGATGTATTAAGATTTTTCAATCCCTTTCTATATAGCTTGGAATTTTTTTTTTTTACAAAGAGTGTTGCTAATTGTATGTTCATCGAGTGGCATAGTTAGGCATCTTGTGCAAAATACTGCTAAGAGAAAAGCGAGACCAGCTTTAGATTTCTAAGAAACATTTTCAAAGTAATGTGGGAGAAATGGGAATTCACTTTGCGATGCTGCATGTAAAGTGCTTGTCAGATGTAAGGAAGAGCCTGGATGCTTGGTAGCACGCTTGCAGAACAAAATACCAAGAAAATTATATTATATTCAGAAATGTCTTCAACTATAATGTTTTGCATATGTTGCTTTACCCATAAGGGGGAGAATGGATGGACATTTTCTTAAACTTTTATAAAAGGGTTTTTTTCCCATTTGACGTGTATGCCATCTATACCGATTTAACTGAAATCAGCTTTGAGACACACGTTTCATGCAGAATAAGCTGTGCTTTTCTTACAGAAGAGAATTGAGGAATTTTCTTTTGCTATGATTGTGCTGTTCATTTTTAAGACATTTCAGTATTTTTTGCTTTGTACGTTCAGGTAAAGATTTTTGGACTCAATTAAGAAATTTCACTAATTTTAAAATCTTCTGAGGGCAGTAAACATTAAGTGGATTGTTGAATTTGTAATTTCACATGCTTGATTGTACAGTACTTTCTAACGCATCTTCTCATGAAACCATGGGTCAGTTTATCTATCTTTCTGTTTTCACTGCTTCCAGGTATTAATTGCTTTCAGTTTGAAACCTGATTAGTTCTTTATGTCTAATATTAAGGCTTAACTGAAATTATCTATTTATTTCACAATTATTGAAAATAAACTAGAAAATTGATCTTAGTTTGATGTGAAATTTACTACGTGTATAAACTAAATGCCTTAGGTACTGAGGAAGTCACTAATTTAGAGGTGTCTCGTTACGGAGACAAACTTGCAAAAACCCCTGAATCCCAATTCACAAATTGGTTATTCGTTTGTCAGGGGATATTTCACATCTAACACATAAGCCCGCGACCTTTAATTAGAATTTTGCAGTTTGTTTTATGCCCCTTGAGGCTGACACCTTGAAAAATTTTTTTCTTGATTTCTTATTGCTAATAAGCATCTTTCTCTTCCCCTCTGGTACTTTGAAGAAAATGATGCAAATACACTTAATTACAGTGGTGGCAATAATTTGTTAGCTGAATATGTGATCAGGCAGATGCAAAAATGATCTGATTAGATCTGTGATCACACTGGAAAGAAAGGTAATGCACTGCTACATTTAAGAGGAACTGTTTTTATTTTTTTGCCTTCCCTTTGCAGGAGGGAAGAAGCATGTCCCGTCTGTCTCTAACACGGTCCCCAGTTTCTCCTCTGGCTGCTCAAGGAATTCCTCTCCCAGCTCAACTCACCAAGTCGAACGCTCCCGTGCACATCGATGTAGGAGGACACATGTACACCAGCAGCCTGGCTACCCTGACAAAGTACCCAGACTCCAGGTAAGACCTTGGTGTTTTCAGGCTTGCTGCCCGTTTCTGTTCATTGCATGGAAAGAGGCATGTACCTGGGAGGAGTATTTCAGTGAGAAATACGATTTATTATATATTCACCACTTATGAATAATTCAGTTTCCGATTTATACAGTAACTTCACTGGGGTTCTACAGAAAAAAAAAAAAAGCCTGTAAAATTTATGTATTATTTAGAGAGTCTATTCATTTTCTCTCTCAACATCTTCTGCACTTTGCCGATACGTTTGAAGCACCTGTTGGTGTGCTGCCCTAGATTATTTCCAACTGTACCAAGCAATTTATTATTTTCAGATTAAGGGAAAAAATATCCTTTCTTCTTCCTTAAGAAAACAGAACAGCTCTGTTACACTGGGACTAATGGATGCTTCTATTGGCCAGCCAAAATCCTAACCTCAGAGGTAGCTGTGTGCCTCAGTGTCAGCGGTCATTTCCCATGGGCAGTGACTGACCTGCTCTGTCTGCCGGCTGCTGCAGATCGGATTGAGTCTTTGCATGCTTAAAGATAGCTGATTTGTGCTGGACAGGTTGGTGACATGTCTGGCAAGATTTATTTAGATCTGGCCAGTATTATCTCAGAGTAGACTCCAGATATGCCAGTTTATGAATAGATGTGGCACGAGAGTGTATTTGTGTATATGACATAGTCTCTACTATTTGCCCGGCTCCCAGTCCTGCGGGGTACTGGGCACCATGGAGGATGGGGGATCCTGGGCAGCACCAGGCCTGTGACGGTAGTGTGGAAGGGACTGCTGTATTAAGGGTTAAAGCACATTAGTAGGAGCAGTACATTAAGACATACCTGATTTTGATTTACAGTTATGATAAGTAAACCAATTCAGCTTTTTGTCATTCAGACTGCTGATTTTTCAGAAGGGTAAGTGCCTCATACCGTAACCCAGAGAAGGTATGGATGTGCAGTGTCAGGGTGCCCAGCAGACTGGTTAAAGGAGGCACTATTGCCTCAAAAGCAAACCAGAGCCCAGGTCAGCAGGTTTTGTTGCCAGAGGTTTTGCGTGGCTGATATTTCCATAAGGAATAGATTTTTAATTTTTTTGTTGTTTTTTTTTTTGGTATGACAACCAGTGTAAAGCTCTAGTTTCATTTGAAGATTTTTCCTTTAAAAGAACTAGGAAATTTTGCACAGATTTGGCAGGTTCCCAAGCAATAAATGACATTTATGGAGACACCTTGAAGCGCCTCTGATGTCATAAAGCATATGGCTCTGATTTCATTCCAAGGAAAGGGAACTGCTAAAATTCTCTATGGAAAAGAAACAATTATTAAAATACCTATATTTTATGGTCAGGCCAAACCAATATGATTTTTCTGGACAGTGTCTGTTTAATGATGTCTGTGTGGTACAACTTTAATCATAGAGAAGAAATCTGTTCAGTGGGGAGAGATTTATAACAGAGAAGCAGACAAATGCTTCGTAGTATAAAAAAATCCAGAGAAGATTCAGCAGTTGTAATAGAGTAGCACATCTGTTTCCACATTTTAAAATATCACTCCTGACACTATTTTTAAAATATGCCCCATATCAGACTTACTTAATAAAAGCTTCAGTTATGGAAGCTTTGGGAGAATATACCTAAATTCACAGATTTTTTTTATAGAGAATAGAGTACTGATCTAAAACTTTTTTTTTTCCTTCTGTTTCATAAATAACAAAAGCGTATTTCTCCAGATTTTGTACTTTGTTTAAACTGAAAGTACAAAGCTGTGACTGACCAGAGCTCACATGCTGCCTGATGTTTTGCTGTATACTGTATTTCGTTTGTACTGCTGTGTTATCTCATAAGGCTTGAATGATTTTTCAGCTGCTCAAACTTCAGTTCTCACTGGAGTAACAGCTTAAAGGATGAGACCTGTAAATTACATATATTTTTATAGCAAAAGATAACCCTTTGCCAGCATCCCAAGTAGGACATACTGCTACATACATTATGATGCTGGATGAAGAGTACACCTTAATTCATTATTTTTCCCTTTTTTTTCTTTTAAATTTGTTTTTCTGCAGTGCTCCATAGTAGAGTTGGTTGGTTACCCCCCATTGAATCTGCCCTGCTCTCATTCCTGATTAAGGCAAAGTACTTGCAGTTGTTTCAGTGGGGATGGTTTGAGCTCCTGATGGTATTTCAGCAAAAGATGTAAGCATACGCTGAAATGCTTTACTAAATGTTAGCTCCAGTTACATGAAATAGTTTGTGCTTACTAAAATTGAAAGCTGTGGGAATAAACTTTGTGTTTATTTGTGTTACAACCTCTATTTCTTTCTCTATGCTCCAAAATCCTAAGTAGGCTTGTAGTAGATACTGTGCATGTATATTTAAGGACACATACAGATTGTGAGCATGTGTATAAATAGAGAGACATGACATGCTAATGGAAAACAGAAAAAAAGAAATCATCAAATCGTGTTTATCCTTCCATAGCATTTTGAGGAGGCCCAATCCTGTTAGGTCCTGAACAAACTCCGTTTGTGTTGACTTCAATGGGAGGGAAGAGCTTCCAGCAGCTTGCCAGATCAGGCCCAGCAGGAGCAAGTATAGGTATGACCAGTTCCTGCCTCTACCTGCTCTCCAGTCACCCCTCTGGTATGATACAAATTACACCTGACAGCAGGCAGCGTGATACATTTCTTATTGTAATGTGTTAGGATTGTCTGTGCTCAGCCCACTCAGCTGGCTCTGCTTGGCTGTTCCCAAGTTGTGTGGTTGGCTGTAATTTGGGGAGAGAAAGGACCTGAATTCTGGAAGTCTTACGTGAGTGAATGGCTGGTGATGTGAAGGCAGAGGCCAAATCTTGCATTTCAGTGATCCCAGAGTTGTTTCAGAGCAACTTTAACAAACTCTTTGATGTTATTTGTATTAGTGCAGCTGCTGTGAGAAGAGCATGTGTCCATTGATTAAATTTGCATAAGTAAAGGGTGCCAGATTAGGCATTAAAGGAGGTAGACGCCCTCTTTCCTGTAAATTTTTATGGGCTACATAAATTTTCTCATCTAGAAACAAGAAAACTTGAACAGCACACAACTGATATGACAAAGGAGAAGAGTGTTAAACAACCACTGTCAAAGATGGTTTCTAAACCACTCCCGTTTGCTTTATGCACTACTTTTACACACCTTTCCAGTTGGCTTTTTGAATTAAACACCATACAAGAAGGAAAGCTGTTTTTTCAGAGGGTGAAAGGCAAGGAAAATGAGAAACATACAAAAGAAGTTGTGATCAACAGCAGCATAATGATGTTGGTCATGGAAATTATCTCGGAAATAATATTATTAATCCCTTTTCCTGTAGCTACTTGAGGCTGCTTTCCTTGCATTTCCAAAATTGCCATTGAAGTTAACAAGCTTTGGAGGTACAAGAAAGCTGATGTTGTCTTACCTGGATCTGAAGTTCAATTTTAATAGTTTATTTTCAGGAGGGTCTCCCACCAAAATTCCCAACTCTGGTAGCTGTGAGTTACAGGTAGAAAGAAAAAAAAACCCTGTTGAATTCAGTCTAGTGACTCTTATCACCAACATCTTATTTCTAAAATAACTGGCTAAGTAGATAAATTATTAATCTTTGAGAGCATTTCCCCTAGAAATTCCATTCATGTTTTTACCCAGAGGACCTCTAAAGTAGCCCCTCCACACATTGACACTTGAATATGGATTTATATGACAGATTGTAAAGGCTGCCAAACCTCTAGCACATCTATAAAGTGAGTTGCAAATTGTATTTACCCAAGGGAGTGAGACAATTCTTATATTTAAAAAACAAACGCACAGCAAAAGTCCAAGCTCCTAACATGCAGTCAAGAATACCCAAAGACATTGCCAGATTCTCCAGTCTCACTCCTACTGAACTCAGTGGCAGATGTGTCATTGACTTCAAGTGGAAAAGAAGTTCCAAATCCCTGTATGCCACAGCAAGCCCTAGCTTCTCAATTTCACTGGAAATTTTGATATCACTTTGAATTTCTGTTAGCAGAACAAGATTTTTCGTCAGAAGACTGTCCTTTTCACAGCCTTGAATAGTGTTTTTAACTCAGAGAATTGCTGTAAGCTCTTTGTGAGTTGTTCTGCTATAAAAGGTAAATATATTTACCTTACATTCTTGGTTAATTAGTATTTGTTGTCTAACCCTCTATTAAAGATAAGTATGTTCCTTTGTTCTAAATGTATTTATAAAAGCTCATGCTTTCCATGGTGATAGCCATATGACAAAAGGAAGCAGGAGTGATATTATTTGAAGCAGTGACGTCTAGGTGAGAATAGTGTGGGTGCACAGGGAGTCTCCCCCTGACAGTTCGTAGGGCACCGTGTTTGGGACCTCTCTGCTCCCTGCCTTTCCTCTTCAGGAAAACAGAGCTTTTTGGCCGCACGGCCCAAGGCATGCTGAGCCAGTGCTAACATAGTGCATGTCCTGATCTCAGCTTTTGGGGCACCTGGGCTCTACCATTCCCTTCTCTGTCCTCCAAAGAAAACTAGCACAGGTTTTATTAACTGTGACATAAAACTGATTACCTTAGCTGTTACAAGGTGTAGTAGAGTTTTTCAGGCATATCCCTGCCTCACTTACCTCTGAACTCGTGGACTTTTTTTATGATTTACAGAAGAGGCCCCTAAAGCACGTGTCTTCTCCTCTTAATGTTTCTTGTCTAAACAAACTCATTCTTGTATAGATCAACCCTCAGACAAGCTCTCCTACCAAGCATGACCTTTCGATTCTAGCTACTCAATAGGTTTTTAATTCCCCTACCTTTCCCTCTAGCACCTCCTTCTCTGGTTGTTGGAGCCCAGCACTGACGCCTGAGATCTTCTGCTTCCCCGCCTTTTCTGCAGCCACACTGGGCTGGACTGAGTTCAGGAGAATGTTCTTCTCCAAGTTTTAGGAACCCTCTCTGTTGTCCCTGATGGAATATGATTGCCAACCCTGTATAGCCAGATACGGTGGTTTCATAAGCTCAAACACACCT